CATGGAAATTGAGAAAAAATTCTACACAGGCATGATCACTACATCCTAGAGAAGGTTCAGCATTCACTTGCTTCACCAGCGAGCTATCATTACAAAGCAATAAATCAAGCACGTTTGACCCTATAGTACTAGTTCGGACAAGCTGGTTACAGTCTAAATTGTTTGTGGTGCTAGCAAAGTATTTCACAATGGAAGAACCAGATTCAAAGGGGGAATACCAGTCGATACCGGGAAAGTTAAAGTCCCCTGTTAAGAGAGAGCTGTGTCCGCCGACTGTGAGATCGCTGATGCACTTGATCATTCTTTCGCTATATTCACAGGAACAGCTAGGAGCCCTGTAACACAGAATAATACGACACTTAACATCCTTAGTATTTAAGTCACAGGCTATGATGTCATATTCTTTAGAAACCGATTCGCAAAATATAAGTGTAGGGGAAAAGCTTTCTTAATTAGGAGTGCAACTCCACCCCCCTTCCTCCTCTTGCGATCGCAGCGAAAGATCTCATATTTTCCGCAGACATCACCTAAAAGTGAGGAAATCTCCAAACTAGATTTGAGCCATGTCTCCGACAAGGCGACGACTCCGTAATCTCTACTGATTAATGAATGCTTGAGCGGTAAAACATTCTTAACTACTGATCGAATATTTGTTGTGAGACACCTTACACCATCATTTATCCGAGGATTCAAGCGGCTTTTACTGGCATTGAGTCATTATCGGCATTAGTAAGCCTAGAAGCGTCACCGAGAATAGAAGGACAAGTGCGAACATCGCCATTCGCATAACACGTGCAGTAGAGGGGGAACTAGAGGCAGCATTATTAGCACCTTCACGTCTGGCCCTTCTAAGAGCAGCCAGGCGATCCCTCTCCGACTTTGGTAGGGAGCATCTTATGAACACTCCCGAAATCGGGAAGAACCTCAGCCTGGGAGGCTTTCCCATACGGTAAATAGCCGTAGGAGAACATTCGATGTCTAAAAAGTGAAATACCTTTTTAACACACTCAACATCATGGAAACTCTGTTCATTGCACTTGAATCTGTTGATTCCGAGATGCCTGCTATAACAACCGACCTCCCCCGTTCTTTCTCTTCACAGCAGTCCAATGGGGGCGAGCCTTCTCGGACCGGCTGTGAAGGGCTGGTGATCTTACTTCTAATTAGCGCTTCTTTTAAAGTCTGGACTTCCCTTACAAGTCTATTCTTTTCCGCAATTTCTACTTTAATTGCTCTTCTAACTCACGGTTCTTAGACATGCTCACTGATCGTATTCGCGTTTTCTAGTAGATGTCCAACGACTGTCTTCAGGTATACTGGCAGTTGATCGTCTTTGATCAATAGGTCCAGGGCGTCGGATAGCGAGCGATCCGTGAGTGCAGGTGAACCAGTACAAAACCGCTTTACCGGCCTCTCCTGAATTGAACGAGGCAAAGGAGTTAGTTGTGAATCCATGGCAACCAAAACAACAAATCACCGAATCGGGTGGCACTCGAACAAATTTCCGTTCACCTGCCACGGGGTCTCGAGCGATCTTGCTGACCTATTGATTCAAAGCACCGCAGTGATGCTGTGTAGCACAATAAAATAGCAGTTTAGCAAAGTAGTAGCTACAGCAGTAAGGCGACTTTGTGCAAAATAAAGCAGAATACCCTCGGATACAGTAGAAGTAAAGAGGGCACAAGAAGAAAACAGATCGTAGTGAAATACCAATATAATAAACGAGCTAGCCTGAATCGCCCAATTACACAGCCTTTTCGAAAAAGTCCACCTAGCTCTTCCTTTCTCAGGCTCTATTTACTTCCATATTCACCTTTGTCCACTATCTTACAGAAGCAATTGGGATTCCTTCAGTGCTGCATACTACAGTGAAAAGCATCTGTTATAGATATC